GCGAGGCTGCAGGCACTGCAAACACCTCTTGGAGGGCAGTGGAAGGTCAGGACAAGCTTTGCAGGCTGCCCCTGACAGCAAACAGGAACAGGGGGTGCCAGCACAGGGAGTGCCAGGAGAAAAGCCCTCAGGCAGCTGCATTTTAACAGAGCTGCTGGGGAGGCTGTGTGAGCTCCGTGCTTCAGCCTAGATAAACCCAAAGTGGGGACCATGGTCCTGCCTCTTATGTACAAGGGCCACAGTACCTGAAGGCTTAATCCTGAGGTTTATCCTGACTGTAAGATGGTGACTGAGGAGAGGTTCAGTTTAACAACTGCACTGAGGTGTGAAATATTGATGCCCTCACTATAATGATTCCTTAGGGACAAACAGTGGGATTGTTTCTTCTGTGGGGCAGGGAGTTGGCAGTGAGCTGAATATTAACTAAAAGCTGCACTAAAGGCTAAGAGTGGGTAAAGCAGCACCACATGAGAGTGTGTGCAGGGGTAAGAGAAGGGAAACAATTACATTCTGAACTGATCCTGGTGCCTCCTGGGTCAGAACTAAGGTTGAACTCATAGCAGAGCTGGTGACAAATGGCCTGGAAGGTGTGCAGCAGGGCTGGGCTCTGCAGAAGCCTTCCTGTACCTTCTCTGTGCCTTGAATGTATTCCCACTACGTTCAAAGTGCACTTCTGTTTTCTGCTACACTGCAGACCCATTGCACATTAAGTGTTCCCATGGGCCCAGGCTGCTGGGAACAGAGCACGTGCCTCTTTCGGGGACACCCGTGGTGTTACCCACACTACAGTGACTCCTGCTTTTGGAGAGACCTGCCTGACACGCTCCACATAATCAGAAGATGGATGCTTGAGCAAGGGGACAAACACCCAGTACAAAAGAGGAAATCCACACACAGTTGTGTCACTTTATTATGTTTGCCTGGACTCTGGTGTGTGTGGCACCCGGGTGCAGTTGTGCAGAAAGCCTGAGGAAGCAGCATGCACAGTGTGCAGGTGGGAAGCTCCTTCCTTTGGCTGCAGGCAGTAGCAGTCACTACACATGTAAGGGGCACTTAAATGGCAGCCCAGGGAGGGGAGACAAACACATGGACACAAAAATATAAATAGTTTCTTTAGGCAACACCAGCTTTGTTAGGGGATGCTCTTCTGGGTGGAATCATTAGCAGGGACAGTCTTGGCTCAGGAAAGTTTAGGAGGTCTGTTCAGGATGGGGCACACAGCCCTGAGTGATATCAAGAAGCTCAGGTGGGAGACTGAAGTGCTGTCTTGTTAGCAAGCACATGGCAGAGGCAGATCTGTACTTCTTGCAGACATGGTCAGTAGAGGTGGAGTGAGGTCAACAGCTTTCTGTGTCCTGCTAGCAGAGTCACACTGGATGACCAGGATGCTTGTTGCATGAAGCATGCAGAGGCCAGGAAGGGGTAAATGAGTTTGTTTTCATTTGTTTCTGAACCCTATCCCAAATTTTTTCTAACCCAGTTCCCCAAGTGGTTATCCCCTCTTTCTCCACCAGCAATTACTCTCAGCTGCCATCTCTCTGAGGGAGCCAAATGAAGCCCCAGGGCTGGACACCAGACAGGTTTCTCTTCCCAACACTTCCCTTGATAAATGGATGCTGGGAACAATGTAAGAGAGAAGGATTCAACCTCTCTTATTTTGCATTATCACTAAAAACTAAACTAATTGTATTGACAGCCAAGCTAGAGCCCCTGTGTAAAAAATGGGTAAACAAAAGGCAAACAATGTTACCTTTTTATAAATGGAAGAAGCCAAGGTTCTCACTGCAGGTCATGGAAACAGCGGGGGACAGGGCTCTGGGTTTCCCTGGTATGTTTTGAGACACAGGGACTGTGGTTCTCCTTATTCTTCTCTTCCCACTCTAACTTCCAGAAGATATACTTAAAGTATCTCTTCAAGTTAAGGAGTGCCCAAGTCAGGAAGCAGGCAGCAGAGCTGACTCAGGCTGGGTGCTAGGGATTAGAGACTTAAGAGAGGAGGTCTGCAGGATTTTTAGGTGATCTCCTGTCTGACAGAGAACATCAGTGCAAGTGCTGAGGCTGAGTCTTGAGGTGCATTCACAGATCCATTCACATTCTTTGCATAGTCCTCTTGAGGAAGGATGGGTGGTGGCTCCTGGCATTTGCACACATGATCCTATGCAGAAAGGCCGTATAGCCAGAAGCAGCACCATGCAGAAACCATCCAAAGGCTAGGGGATGCCCTGAGGGAAGTCAAGTCCAGCATGCAGATCCTGTTCAGCACAGCTATGGCTCTACTGTCACACTGCTGTTGGTGACACGGACACCGTACCACCCCTTCCAGAACAGCGTGTCCTGGCCACCGTGTTCAAAGCGGACAAAACGCACCCCAGGCCCGTAGCTGGAAAAGGTGTGGGAGATCTTTGGGACAAGAGACAAAAAAGTTGTTAGTAAGTGTCAAACCACCACAAACCTATTGCTGTTCAGTGCACAGAGCCTCCAGCCCCACTGGCCACAGTCACCCACCAGGCTGGGTAACAGTGGGGACATTTACACTGGGAGAAGCTTTGATCCCCTTGTTCTGATGCTGTTTAATTGCTCCCAGTTGGACATCTCCTGCACCTTACACCTGCTACTGGGGACTCAGCAAGTTTCCTGTAAAGCAGCCTTCCTTTTCCTTTTTCAATCATAGGGTCATGGCTCCAGAGAACACACGACAGCCTTCTCCTCCCCTTGGAGAATTCTTCTGCTTAAAAATATTCCTGATTCACATAGGTTGGGTGTCACCTGCTGAGCCCATACCTGTAACTCACCTCAGTCCAGTTGGCATCATTATCCTGTGGGATGGTGATAGTCTCACTTTTGTACTCAGCCAGCACATCCTCATTCTCAGAGAGCAGCTTCACACACAGCTCATAGAGGCAGCCAGCATCACTACGTCCTGCATACCTACAAGGAGATCCAAGCTGTTGCATTACCTGTAAGAGCTCTGCAAAGGTTCCACCATGCTCACCAAGTTACTGCAGCCTTGCTTTGACATGGAAATCTGCAATGGCTCCTAGCCCAGCCCACCACCTCCCCTCACCAAGCACAGGAACCCGGGCTGTGGAGTTCATGGCTCCAACAGTTTAAAGCCTGTGGGAGCTGCCTGTGAGCCCTGTCCCACATCCAGGACCCCAGCAGCTGAGGTTTTTAAGGCTCAATATATATATATATATATAAGGTCTATGCCCTCCCTGCTCTTCCTTATCTTTCTTAACCCTCTGCCTGTCCTCAGAGCCTTCCTCAATACTTACCAGTCTCTTACCATGATTTTAGGTTGGGTTGTATCCATCAGCTCTTCCCAGTAGCCCTCAGCCCTAAGGTCAATGACCTGAGCCTTTCGACACCACCTGAAACACAAGATGCTAATTGGTATCACAGTCTCTCCTGGACTGGGAGAACCAGAAATGCCCCCTTTCCTGAGAAAGAGAAGAAAGCAGCCTTACTCATAAGATGTAACAAAGTATTTATGGACTTCTTCACTAGGAAATTCTTTTCCAAAGTCCCCTGGGAGCTCTTCAACTTTCCATCCATCACCTCCATTCTCTACCTCTCCCCAGTGCTCCAAGTCTTCTGCAAATGGCAGAAAAGAGACTTGGATGAGTCCTGTGCATGTGGGGAACTTGGCCATCTCCCACGGGAACCTTCCTATGGCTTGTGAAAGTTTGATAGGAGACACAGCACTGATTTCATATGTAGACTATGGATATGTTTCTTTAAAAACTTTTAGTCTGACTGAGCCTAACTTTAACATTAACATTTAACACCAAACTTTAACATTCCCCAGCAAAGTGGCTGTGTACGTGTGGGTTTAAGAAAGTACTCCAGGGAAAGAATTCAGGTATTCTGAACAGTGTCACCATTTTCAGTGTCACATCACACAAATACTCTGGGGACAGATGCTGATTGCTTTATTTCTAAGTTTTCTAAAGCACTAAGTGGTATTTTTCTGAAGCAGTAAGACCTTAAACATCAGGGTTTTCGAGAGGGAAACCTGGGTGCTGGAAATGTTTGCATAAGGTTACTTTTAAACAAAATGGGAAAGCTGTGTTGATACTGTTTTGGTCTGTGATGTGTGAAATTGTTGCTGCTTGGATTGTGAGGCTTGGTTACTGCTACTTATTGCTGTGCAGCTTGCAGCTCTGACAAGCAAAGGTCATAGATTCAGAATAATGGCACATGGGGTGTGTGCCCAGTCTCTAACATGGGCTGTGGTGAGGAGGGTAAAAAATGATTGGCCTCAGCTGCTCCAAGGAAAGAAGCCTGAAGGGCTTGGTGAGCTGGGAAAGGCTTCATCTCTCCTGTCATGGCTTAGCGAGAAGCAATACAGAAACAAATGCCACAGCCATTACTGTGTTGGATGGTTTCTACAGAGGACATCTTTGTGTCTCAAACATGATTTCGATCCTTGTAGAGGTTAGATAAAGATAATGTTATGTAAAGCCCTTTGCAAAGGCTGATTATCAAGGGCCTTTGTGCTCATTAAATTATTTGGCTGCACGGATTGAGTGACTTGACTCTTGGGAGAAAATTCTGCAATCTGACAGCAACTAAGATCTATTTTCAAAGACTAGACATACACAATTCTCAGTGACTGGTCATCTCTTGAAGCTTGTTGTGATGTCTCTCACCTTCACCACATGGGTTCTTGATGAGATTCTTCCTTTTCTTACTCAGGAAGTAGAAGCTTTGCCAGTTCTCTGTATCTGACTCTGCTCTGGTGAGGCCTTCCTGCTGACACTTCAGGATCCAGAGAGCAGCTCCATCAACCAGGTTCTTCCACTGGCAGCAGACCAGGCGGCACACCAGCACCAGATCCACCGCGGGGAGGGAAGCCAGGATTCGAATCAGGACTGCTTCAGGGAGGGACTCCATCCTGAGGCTGGCTGGGCAGAGCTGTCTGAGAGAGGGTGGAAAGGAATGGTGAGGGTTTCCCAGCCTCAGCAATGTAAGACACTGATATAGGAGAAAAAAAGGGGAAATAAATATGTTCTCTGAAGGCATGATTTTGATCGCTAGCCTCAAGGTCTCCTGTTCCTCATTACATTAATATCCTGAAGCAGATTATTATTTTTATATTCTGAGTAAAAGCCCTGAATTAAATCTGCCCACAAAATGTATGTATTTGACCACTGAGTTTGTTCATTTTCCAGGCTGGAATCAATCCCTCCAGAATCTCTGCTGCTGCAAAAATCAGCTTCCTAATAATGATTTCCTCTTCAGAGGAAGGCACATGGGTGTTTGTTCTGCCTTTAAGAACATCCCTGATAATAAATGCTGCAAAGCAGTGCTCAAATATCATCTTAAGCTTCTTGCCAGCCACCTTTGCAGTGGTTCATTCTATATCTGACAGTCTTTCCCTCAGAGTGCTGGCAATTAATTGCCTTTGTCATGAGCCTGTATAAAGTAATGGTCTGAGCATAACTGAAAATAACTCAGCTGATATTCTCTAATATTCTATTGTCTGTGGCCTCATAACTGGAGGAATTAAGCCAGAAGTGTTTGCTCTAACTTCATGTGCTAATTCTGAACTCCAAACAGCTCTCTGATGCCCTGAGGTCCAGGTCCAGGTGCTGCAGGACTGTGGAAAGATGAGTGTGCAGATTCAGAGCCCACATCATCCATGAGAGATGCACCGTGACACTGCTTTTATGTCAGCTGAGTCCTGGTGCTGGGAAGCTGCTGAGATTGCAGCAAACCAAATGGACACAGCCAAACTCCTCAGGAACGACTCATTAAGCCTGGGAGAGATGAAAATAGAGGTGAAATACCCTGGCATGCAACTAAACAAAATACAGAGGTGAGAATAGAGGTGAAATACCCTGGCATGCAACTAAACAAAATACAAAGATGAAATACCCTGGCATGCAACTAAACACAATACAGCGGTGCCAAACCTGGCAAGGAAGGGAAGAAACTGGGAATCACTGCAGTAGCAGCATCCTAAATCTAGACGTTCAGATGTGTCCTCTATCTGCACTGCACCCAGCAGGGGCAAACTGTAATTTAAAACTCCCTGGCTTTTATGGAGACAGCATCAGTGATTTCTCATTCTCCCCACACTTCCAACCCTCAAGCATAGTCCCGAAGGATAAAATGTAATTTTTTAGAAGTAGGAGGGAGGGGTCATGCTGGTTTCATCTCGTACAGGAATTTCAGAAGCCTCTCCTGCTCCCTGCCTGCTGCTAGAGCGCTGTTAGCCAGGCTCCCTCCGCACTTTCCTTTCCCACCCCAGTGAAGCATCCAAACCGTGAAGGGCTTTGCATCACGGGCACGCTCCCATCCCTTGACGTGCTCGGGGCACACGCGTGTCCCTCCTCTGTCCCTGGAGACACGCCGGAAATCCCGCAGGGACTCGGGGGAGGCTCCGAGCGCTCTTACCTGAGCCGCTGCTGCGCGGGCGGGCCGGAGCCGCTCCGAGCTGCGCCGGGCACGGCACGGGGAGGGGAAGAGGGGAGGGGAGGGGAAGAGGGGAGGGGAGGGGAGGGGAGGGGAGGGGAGGGGAGGAACCGAACCGAGCCCCGTCCCGCCCCGCGGAAGAGCCGCAGCCCCGCACATCCGCGTCCGGCGGCGGAGATGGGCGGAGCCAGGTGGGGCCGGGGCCGGGGCCGGGACCGGGACCGGGGCCGGGGGTTACGGCGGGCAGCGGGCCCGGGGCCGGGGCCGGGGGTTACGGCGGGGAGCGGGCCCGGGGCCGGTGGTGAGGGTTACGGCGGGCCCGGGGCCGGGCCGGGCCGTTCCGGGGTCTGTTACTCACGAGAACAAACCGCCTTTGCTCCCCGCAGCTCGGCCCGCGGTGCCGGGGATCTCCCGTCGCGCTCCTGCGGCCCGCACACTGCCATGACGAGCATCGCCGACCTCCCCGAGGACGTGCTGGTGGAGCTGCTGTCGCTGCTGCCCGCCCGGGACCTGCTCCGCAGCTGCCGGCTGGTGTGCACGCAGTGGCGGTACGTGGTGGACCTGACCACCCTGTGGAAGCGCAAGTGCCAGCGCGATGGGTTTTATCGTCAGAGCTTGGACAGAAGCGTCTCTGACTGGAAGATCTTCTATATGCTCTGCCAGTTGAAGAGAAACTTAATCAAAAACCCTTGTGCTGAAGGTTTGTTTCCTTTATTATAATAAAGGACTGGGACTGCCCAGCTATTGGCTGTAGCTCTGCTAGGTGAGATTCGTAGCTCAGCTCCTGCAATAGAACTGCTGTAGGTAGGTAGGTATGTATTTACCAATACTTTGTGGTTTTAGCCAGAAAAATCTGGAGTCAAAAGGCCCCAGTACAGCAGGCAGTGGTAGTGAAACGATCAGGTATTGGGATTAAACATTTGGGCAGCTGGAGGACTTTTGTTAGCAAAGACTTGACTAATAGAACTACAGTAATCGTACTTTATTGCTGATGCTGATTTTCTGATGAGGTCAGAAATCTGCTACCTGCTGTCCTAGATGCTGGCAGCCACATAAAGGTAATGGCAGCATAATGACAACAGTCACAGCTGTAGGAAAAATAAAGTGGATCTGAAAACATCAGGTAGCTTCCTAGAATTCTCCTGTTGCTGATTCTAATAAAAGCTGAGATCCTGGTGGTAGCTGAAGTGAGATCCTAACCCTCACCTGTACACCTGTGTTTTTAGAGAACTTCCAACACTGGACACTTGACCAGAATGAAGGAGATAGGTGGAAAATTGAGGATCTGCCTGGAGCTCATGGAAATAATCCACCAGACCCTGCAGTACGCAAATACTTTGTCACTTCATTTAGGTAAGAACTGGATTCCAGTAATCTGGAACTGGGAAACCTGCTTCCTCACATCTGTCTGAAAAGGCACCATGGTTAGAAGACGGGTGGCAGGTTCCTGAACCTTAGATCGCCTGTGGGAAAAGGAAGGAGCTTCATTAACCCTTTATGCCAGTTAATCTAAAGAGATGGGTACTGCTGAGAGAATTGATCACAGCAGGTACTAAATTTCTCTGCCTACCAGGAACTTCCTGTAATTTTTATAGTTAGAATAATCCACATGGGATCCCTGCTTCTCCTCTCCCCAAAGGTGGTAAAAAGGTTAAGGTCTGGCAAACTCAATCAAACTGTACTTACATGACAAGATCAAAGCTCTGTAACCTTCAGGAGTGGTAGGTGTGACACACTAACAACTTGTAAAAAAAGCTGTCACCAGAGGAGGATCAACAGCTTTTACAAGCACTAGGCACTGTTTCCTGTTACCAATACATAATAGAGACCCTTCTTAATCCAGCTTGTAGGTGACTATTCTTTTTATCTTGGGGTGAAGCTAATTCAGTTCATTTTCTTGTCAGGTTCTGGCTGGGTTTAGCCAGGTCAGCTTTGTGGGCCTTCAGCATCTGGGTGGGTATTAAAGCTGTCAGGGAAAGGACAGCAAGAGGGAAGAGATGTGTTCTGTAGAACTGTGAATATTTCTATGTCTGTTTCAGGCCATGCGTCAAGTCCCAACTCATTACCCTGAAGAATGAAGGCTATTGGAATCAGCTGATGGATGAGAAAAGGCCTGAAATTACAGTCAAGGACTGGTGAGTGGAAGCACTGAAAATTAGAATTTCTGGCATTGGTCTAGAGGTAAGCTAGGCTTCTGGAGCTTTTCATGGAATAAAATCAATTCTTTATTCTTTGGGAGTTCTTGAGTGAAGAATAAGCTAAATCTGAACTCACTCAATGGACTACATGGTGGCAATCCTGTGAAGGGTGGGATAGCTGTAAGTTCTAAATCTTCTCTATAGCTCTGGGGATGACACTCCTTCGCTCCTTTTCCTCTGCAGACAGGGATCCCCTTGGAGACTGCTTTTGAAAAATAAAGAAAACTGAATGCTGTATACACAGCCCTGCTCCTTGATTCCTCCTGCCCCTCCAGGTACGCTGCCAGGTTTGATTGCGGGTGCCGCTACGAGCTCTCCGTGAGGCTGCTCTCCGAAGATTACATCGTCCTGGAGGAATTCCATCCTGAGCCAGTGGTCATTGAGCAGTGGAGTGATGCCAGGTGGAGAGAGGTGAGCAGCAGCCAGGGAGGCAGGAGTTTTACGGCAGTGTTGTGACACTTGTGTGTTCCAAGTCTTACCTGGCCAAAAGTGCCAGTGGATTTTCTCTGCTCTTCAGCTTCCTCTGCTCTATAGAGGTGAGTCAGTCCTTGCTATTGATGATGCTGAAGAAGCAGTAGTGTCCTGAATGAGACAGGTACTATTTTTAGGTGCCCAGCATTTTCTATAGAGTATTCTGTGGGCTTCTGTGTTGTTTTAGTGCAGTCTTTTTAATTGTTTCTTGGTTTTATGTAAGATTCTATCTAAATAATTAAATAATGAGAAGATTTCAGGGTTTTTTTGATCAAAAAACTGTTTTAAAACTACTGCATGGATAGCCAAGTATTGCAGACTTAACTTTTCTTAATCTGTTACAGGTGTTTAACTGGCTTGATTTGCTGTACATTCTGCATTAGATGTTACTTATACATGCACTTAAAAATCAAGCTTAATGTTAGCTTAACTCAGATAGGATTTTGGGGCAAAGGCTGAGTGAGAAAGGCTTCTTTCCTCCCCCTGCCACTCGCTTTTCCCCCAGAAAAGAGTATGGTGCACTTTCAATGAAAGCTATCTAGGCTCAGGAAGAGTTCATTCTAAGACTCACATACTGTAGTTTTCTGAGCTTCTAGATGAGCACTGGTTTATTTAGGGAAATTAAGAGGAATTCTCTTTTCTGTCCAGATTTCTCACACCTTCCAGAATTACCCAGCAGGAGTCCGTTACATCATGTTTCAGCACGGAGGCCAGGACACGCAGTACTGGGCAGGATGGTACGGGATCCGTGTGACAAACAGCAGCATCACCATTGGGCCCCAGACATCATTCTGAAGCACTATGGAAAAGCACTATGCTTGCTTTTACCTCAGGACTGGAACCAAGTGGCTGCAGGTGCACTGTTTGCCTGTACTGTCCGGGTATGTCCTAGCTTTGTCTTGCAGCTCTTGTTCACAGCAGAACTTCAGCAGAACCAGCCCTTTAGAAGGGTGTTCTGTCTTCATCTTCCATTCTCTTCTACCATGGATGCTATTCCAACTACTGGTGCCCTTGCAGAGAAAAACTGGGACAATTAAACATGAGGTCTATCTTTTCTAGTTAATACATTCTTATGCTAATAAGATGGTCTTAAAGACACTTTCTTGTTTATGGAACGTAGGAAAGATAAGGCTAAAATGATTAATTTTAGATTACCAATGGTATCTACAAGGACTCTGCCACAGATTGTTTTGTACAGTATTTTCTTTCCTGTTTCAGTTTTAAGATTCAGTTAAGATTTATGATCTGCATCAGACCCTTCATAGAATCAGGAAACTGTCACCCCTTGTTCCTAAGTGCTGTGTCACTGGTAGTGAATTCCATACCCTTTCTCTAAGTGTATATGATCAAAATGGTACCTGCCTTCCTATCCAAAACAGTCCCTTGGTGATTGAATAAACAGGTAGAGAAAGAAGAGGTAAGAAGTCCCTTCAGGCAGCTGCCTAATAACACAAGTGCCTTTTGATTGTGCTGGGCTTTTCCCACATCACCTTTGGTTTATACTGAGCAGTGTAACCCAATATAAAATGTTAAAGCAGTGCCCAGACTTGATCTGTAATGTTCCTACACTTGTTACTTGGAGGAAGCAGGATGTGCTGGACAGGCTAGTGTACCAAATTCTCTGACAAACAAGCTCAGCTTGTTTGAACTGTGTCTCCCACCCTTATATACCCAGAACTAATGTTAAGGCCATGTTCCATCTCCTCTGACAGGTGTAGCATAAACAGTGCTTTCCTTGCCTGTTCTCAGTTAGGAGTGGGATACTTGGCAGGTGTCCTTGCTGGACAGACAAATTCCACATGGCTAATGCCACCTCTGAGTGAAAGGGGAGAGACCAAGGTTGTAGAGCCTTTCATGGGAATTGACACAGTGGTGGAAAAGGGTGGAAAAGTGCTGGAAGCTCCACAGAAAAGCGCTGGAAGCACCACAGATAAAAATACTTCCTCACTGAAGAAGGGAGCCTGGTTTTGACAGAACTCAGCCCAGTTCAACTGGGGTAAAACTTGGTATTTATTGAAGACTAGTTGGGATGGTCACAGTGGACAGACAATACATAAGGCTTCGCTCCCCCTTAGCACAGATGTTGCTCTCATGGATTGTGTGACAGCTCCTAGCTGTCTATCACTACCTGTGTGCAATGGAGCTGCCCTTTTCAGGTGAGAACTGGACTGGCAATAAAGCACTGACTCCCCAGGGATGCACTGTATCAACACCTGTACTCTCACACAAGTCAAGATGGGAACAGGCTCTGGCTCCCCATTCCAAGTCAGTTCTTTATACAGTGGTAAGAGCACTTGAAATGTAGAGCAGCTGCTCTACATTTACCCAGAAGAGCAGCTGAAGAGATGGTTATCAAGATACAGTGTGTGACAGATCTTACTCCACTGGAAGATGAGATGAAACTTGAAGGCAAGGAAGATTTGAAATCAAGTGCCTTTGTGAGCTCGCTCCTCTACATAGAGCTGCATCTGGAGAGAGAAACAAGCAACAGTCCTGTTGGTATACAGGTAGGTGAATGGAAAAAAAAAAAGCCTGCAACAGGCTGAATAGGAAGTGCTTATATCTTCCTCCATAACTAGGTTTCCTATTTTACTATGAGGAGTCTTGCCCTGCTTTGATTACTGGCACAGACATCTGCAAGACTTAAGCTACTGCTCAGCAGTATGTTTAAAGTTGTTACACCACAGAAAACTGCAGAGCTGATGTCAGCGCATTCCAAGTTCACAACTACAGCAGGTTCAGCACCTCTTGGTCAGAATGCTCTGCTCACCTTTAAGATGTCAGATGTCATGGTTTTCAGGGGAATGAGCCGGGGGTCATGCATATGCACGTCTTGCTCATCAGCGAGGATCCAAGGGAAATCCTGGGGGCAGGAACACAAGATGTTACTGGCAGAACCCAGCAGTGCTGTAAGCTGAGCTCCTCCTAAGCACTTGTTTTGTGTTAAGTTGAAAGAGAGACAGCGGCTGAGGAAAGGAACAGGCAATTCAAACCTTCCACAACAACAAAATTTAACACACACATGCTTGTCCCTGATGCTGAGCATAATTGTCTTCAGTTACAGCGTCAAACTGTGAGGTCAACCCACTTCACTTACTGCAGAGGTGACATCTCACTTCTTTAAAAGATACACTCTCAGCTGTCCTGAGCTACCATACCCAGTTCTTAACTGCAACTCCAGCATGCTTTGAGCACGGGTTTCCACCCTGCCTTGGAAATCTAAAGGTGGGTCTACTACAACACAAATTTCCATTACTAGGCAGTGCAGAACAGACTTTCTTTTGAAACAAGTTTATACTTTGCTAGTTTTATTTGTTGTGCCTTTGGACACCTAAAATAACTTGACTCAGGAAAAAAGTTTCTCTGTATCTAAGTGAGGATTCTTTTAAAATAATCTTCCTTTAGAAAGTGTTCTGCACAGTTTCCTGTAAGATACAATGTATTTGTGACCCCAAACCTACTCATTGCTTTAATCTTAGTCTTTCTTGATCTTTATACAAAGTCAGCCACCACACAGTGGATGGTGGGTGAGGGCTGCTTTTTTCCTTAATTAAATTCAAGTACCTATTCTACACATCTGAGTATTTCCAAGTGTCTGAGCAAGCACTGGACAGTGAGTACTGTAAAAATCTATTGTGTGTGGCAAATGTGCTGTCAGCTCACCAGCATAAACCATTTCACCACATTTCAAATACAGTTACAATGTGCTTCATGTGACACCAACCTGCATGTTCAAGATATCTCTCAGCCTTAACCTTAAAGATGCCAAAACTCTGCACTGCCTAGTCTTTGCTATGCAGCTTCTCACATACAATCAGGTGCCCAAGGATATCACTCACCTTTATCACCTGGATCTTTTCCATGTTGCGTGTGGCAGCCTCCCGTGTGTGAACCAGAACTGTGAAGGTGCAACCTAAGAGAAGTGTCAGGTTCCAGCTCAGGGCACAGCTCCCAGAGGATCAGCCAAGCCAACCAATGCCAGGCATTAGGCTGTTTGGATCCAAGTGACATTTACCTGGGGGGTTGTTGTCCAGCACAGCATCACACACACTGATTTTTAGGATGAAGGCACGCAGTAGCTGCTCCACGTGGGACAGCAGGGACTCGGAGCTGTGGAGGAGACAGCAGTTGTTACTGTTGTTACTGGCAGTTGCTCCTAGGGCTGGGTGTTGGATGCCATGGGCAAACAGGAGTGGAAACCTCACCTAATGGAAAGAAGAGGTGGCTGGGTGATCTCAAAGACAAATCTCTCCACGGGGTGGTGCTCTTTATCCAGAATTACAACCACAACTTTCTCCACATCGTTCTGCAGGAACCAAGACAGAAAAATCCCTTCCTTAATATGAGCTGTCTGCTGCCCACAGTGTACTCCACATTCTTTGATGCAGTGGAGTACACTCACTGTTGGGGCTCACAGCACAAGCTGTTACACAAAACCTGACTTCAGATTATTCTTAGCAATCAGAAAAAAATGCTTTTGCAAAGCCATTTCTTGTTGGGCATTAAGCTGTGGCCAAGGCTGAGGGAGATGAAGTGTGCTAAATTGTACATTCCTCTAGATCCTGTTTTGGAACAAAGGAGGAAGTGCACACCCATTTCACTGCATCATTCTGGGATGGACACTGATGAAGTTAAGACACATTCAGACCATTGCCCAAACAGAGCAGCTTTGTACAAATGCAATTTAAAACAGACCTAATTGCATTTTCTACATGTGCATTAAAATTATCTGTAAAGAGCAAGGCATACAAAACCTGCCAGCAGCCTCCTGGAATGTTTCATTGGTCACACCCTTCTCTTGCAATACCTAGAGTCCAGGCCTACCTTTGCTTCCAGGTTCACAGCAAAGCATTCAACCTGTTCTGGCACAGCAGGTGCTTAAACTCAGATGGATTGTAAAGCAGAATGGTAGGATGATGTAACTGGAAATATACAGACATGTGTCCTTGTGTGGCATATGAGACAAGGAAGGCAGGGTCTTAACTGCCAGGAAAGGTTATGATGTTTTTAGTTCTGTCAGGAACTTTTATCAGCTAGTATATTGTGTATGGTAAATTTGTAAACATGTTGAAGTTAAGATAATATTTATGTTCTCTTACTTTCTGTTAAATCCATTTGCAGTACCTTTGCCCAGGTCCCTGGTCTGAGCTCACCTTCTCCAGCAGCGGCTTTACACAGTGCAGCGTGTCCTGGATGTACTGGTTCAGCTCTGGGTGGCAGGACATCTGTAGCAAACACAGGGAAGAGTCAGAGCTGTGTCTGACATGAGCCAGGACAATGCTAAAAGGGAAGATTTAAACAGAAGCACCAAGGGCTTCAAGTCATGCTTCAAATAGTGCTGAAAAAGGCTGAGTTGCCCATTCAAATCAGCAATTCTTTCAGGGAAGGGTTAATCAGCTGAGGCAGATCACTGCACTCATACAGTTGTTGTATATCTGGAATGTATGCCAGAACACCATATTGGGAATAGCACATTCCAACCACCTCTACTTCCACATGCTTTCCTGTTACCTCACTGCACAGAGCTGGGGCAGCTTTCTACTGCTGTTATCCACGACCTGCTTGTCCCTTGAGCACTTGCTGTATCCTCAGCTACGGGGCTGCTCCTCTTATCACAGGAACTAAGCTCTCCTCAAAAAAGTGTCTACATTAAACAGTCACTTCCAGAGTGTAAGTTTGTTCTGTGAGTGTTGATTGATCCTTGCTATTTTGCTTGTCCATGATCTCCTACCTGGACAGGTACATTGTATTTTTTCCTCTTCTGAAAGATCCCAATTGGGTAAACTTCTCTGACATACAAGATGAGGTGAACAGCCACTTCCAGGAATTCTGAAAGAACATCTGCAACAACTGAAAAACAGAAGTAAAGGATGCTGGAATAGGGTGTGGGAAAGTAGAGCAATACCATAGACTCAGGGGACCTTGTTATTTTTTTCTGCATAAGTTTCACCTGCCTCCTCTTAGGTGCAGAAAGTTTAGGGACAGAGCAACCCTACAACACTCCCCCAAGCTCAGTATCCAAGAGGAGCCTCACAAGGACACCAGTTGCAGCTTAGTACAACACATTACCTTGCCCAAAGTTAAGGTCCTGCCGTGTGAGAGTGGTCATCTTCCCCAGACCCTGGAAGTAAACACAAAAGGAATGGTTATCCTCTGGCTCCTGTAGTATTCATCTAACCAGTTCGTGGAGTTGTACACCAGAAGATCCTGCAAGCCCACAGTGAAATGAGCACCCCCCATAAGCACAGCACGTCCTCAGGGATTACCAGCAGTGCACAAACCAGTGCTCACACCTCAGGATGAGGGATTATTAATAATTTAATTCCTGGGGTTTCCAGTCTCTCTCCTTTTCTGGAATGCAGGAAAGTTCAGACAAATACTTTTTAGTAACACAAGAAACACAGTGTTTTTAAAGCTTCATAGTACTTGCCTTTTCTAAGCCCTATCTCTTACTATAACACAAGAACTTCTTGGGGTTTTGGGTTTATTCTGACACCACCACGAACCACTGCTTGTCCAAGCTTGGAGCTGCATCTTCCACTGACACACCATCACAGAGGTTCTCATCTGCTGCCACTGTCAACAGCTTCTGAGTTTCCTTCTGCAAGGAACCCAAACCCTGCAGAGCTGCATAATTAAGTCAACTTTGTGACACAGGATTGTGGAATTCCTCAGGTTGGAAGGCACTTACAAGGATCATGGAGTTCAACTCCCCGTTCCTCACACGACCACCTAAAACTAAACTGTGTGACTTAGAGCATCATTCAGCTGCTCCTTGAACTCTGACAGGCTTGGGCTGTGACTACATCCCTGGGGAGCCTGAAATTTGTGAGCAACAAAGGGCAGCACGTTATTGTGACAAATTGACTTTCATGTGCCAACAGTTGAACAGCAGATGCTGGAGTTCAGCTTCCCAACAGCTTTCCCTATATTAGCAGACTCCATACCTTATACAATTTAAGCCACAGTGTACATAATTATCTACTAGAAACTTTATTTTAATTCTTTTATCCACACTCTCTGCAAGCCAATAAATTCCAGCCACCAACAGCAGCACCATTCCTGGACTGTAGAGGTCTTTATATGCCTCTGGAGCACCCAGGTTCCACCAGTAACTCAGGTGTTCTACAAAGACTTTTGACAAACTTCAGATGTTCCAATAAGCTCTTTAGACACTGATTTTCAAGCTGTTTTTCACACCTATGAAGAATTGGTTCAACCTGCACAAAACAGGGAGCTACTTTCATCCCCAGTTTTAAAAACAGTTATATAAATATAACTGTATACAAGGACTTCCTGGAATATTAGTGATCTGCTACACTAAATAAAATTAAGACAGTTAAGCATCTCTCTAGCACCCCAGCCACAATGGCTCTCAAATTAATACAAAAAGTCTGCAGAGTATAATAAACTGTTTTTAGAGGTTTAGGTTCACATTCTCACTTAAACTTCATTCCTTCTTAAAGAGAGGCCCAAGAAACCCAAGGGATCCACTCTTCCATGCAGTCACAAAGGAACCAGGCACTACACACTCAAGGAGTGTGCAGGCTGGGAGGTCATGGAATCACAGAACAGTTTGGGATGGAAGGGACCTTAAAGCTCATTTTATCACAACACCCTGCCAGAGGCAGGGCCATCCTCCACTATCGCAGGCTGATACAAACCCCATCCACCCCGGCCCTGGACATTTGTAGGGATGGGGCATGAGCAGCCCGGACGTGCCCTGCGGGCTCCCAAAAACCGCCCTGGCGGTGTCTCCGAGCAGAAGGGAGGGCGGATGGGGGTGTTATGTATAGTAAACACAATTCACGCCATTCCTTGTATGAAATATGTAATATTGGATACTTGACAGATTATGCTCGTTTGTATTAGAAGCACCCCCACCCTTGCAGGTGAAACCTGGTGTATGTTGGAACCCGATTTACAAGTAAAAGGATGTGGCTCGGCCAGGAGATGGGCATGGCTGGAGAGATACGGGGACCCCAGGCACTGATCATGGCGTAAATGACCCGAGACGGATATAATGGAAATCCTCGGGCAGATCCATGTGAATGCAGCGTTCCTGTAAATTTCATCAACTCCGGACACTGAACTGTTCTTCCTCATCACCAAAAAGGAAAATCTTATTAACCTATGGACTCTGAATGGAAGAAAAGACTGATTGCTAAAATCTTGGCCTCGGGCGGAATTTTCCCTATAAAAACCGCTTGTGCAGGATGGAGGTGTGTGGGCATAGGGAAAAACCTGAGGCTGACTCCTTGTCGCACACCCAGCGTTGATCCCGGGCTCGGCACTGTGGGGTTTTTTTTTCCGCGGCTAGCTAGATAGAATTTGACCGCTAATAAAACTTATTTTTATTTTTAATTTGGCTGAATAAATTTGCATTTATAACAGGGGGTGACACACACTTTGAGCGCCCCGCTCCCACCCAACGCACGGCACTGCCTTCCCTCATCATTCCCAGCCCGGGATCCGCCCGTTCGCCGCCGCTCATCCCGCAACGAGGGCCCAGGACACCTGTCCCCGCGTCCCCCCGGCCCCGTATCGCCCCGGTGTCCCTCCCTGCCCGCCCGGTGTCCCCCGCTCCCTACCGGCCCCGTATCGCCCCGGTGTCCCTCCGTGCCCGCCCGGTGTCCCCCGCTCCCTACCGGCCCCGTATCGCCCCGGTGTCCCTCCGTGCCCGCCCGGTGTCCCCCGCTCCCTACCGGCCCCGTATCGCCCCGGTGTCCCTCCGTGCCCGCCCGGTGTCCCCCGCTCCCTACCGGCCCCGCCGCCCCTCACGGCGCCAGCGCGGGAAGCGGCGCCAGCGCCCGCCGGTGACGTCACGGCGGCGGCGAGCGCCCCCTGGCGGACGGGAGGACCCGCGGGGTCCCCCCGGCGTGACAAACGCCAGTCACTTGGTTTGTAAAGTTTTAAAAGTTTAATCATAATTAAATGGTTATAATAATAATAATAGAATTACGGTGATAAAGTTTGGGGTTAGGACAGTTACAAGACAATAAAAAGCAAAGAATTACGGATGTCCGGATGCTGTCGGACACTAAGTCGCGAAAAGCATCCCTTGTGAACAAAGGAATCACCCTTAAACCAATACACTTGTTGCGTATTCATATATCCTTCATGGTTATGCATACATTCTATTTAAAACAAGAAACTCTGTCTCTTGTATGACAACTGTTTCCTTTAATCCCCATGGCTTCGAGTCTGAGCAAAGCCTGAAGAAATTAGTTTCTTCTGAAAAGAAGCCATAAATTCCTCTCCTTTGGAAGATTCAGGTGTTCCTCGAGCGAGTATCTCATTTCTAAAAAAAAAACTTCCCCCACATACATAGTCTCTATTTTAACATCATGTTGGAACCTAAAACTATATTTAATACACTACTTAAGAAAATTAATACAGCATAACTTTCTAACATGACACATATAACATTCATTGTAATATTTGCGAAAAGCCATCCATAAAACATGCATTTTTCACACCCGGCACGGCGGGGCCGGGGCTCGGTGCAGGGAGCGGGGCACGCTGAGCCACCGGCGTGACAATAACGCGGGGGAACCCCGCGGGAGAGCGGAGCCCGCCCCACCGGGCTGCCACCGGCTCACCGGGGCTCACCGGGGCTCACCGGCTCACCCGCTCCCCGCCCCTCCGGGCTGCCACGCCTTTGTCTCCGGTCTTTGTCCCGTCTGTGTGCGGGGCAGGGACCGCTGCTGCGCTCTGGCACCCACCCACGCCCCGCACCCGCTCCCCTGCCATGCCCCCGCACTCCCCCGGTGACCCCCGCACGCCCAGAGCCCCTCCGCCCCTCCCAGCCCCACCTCCTCCGGCACCATGCACCCCGGTCCCCCGGGATTCCCCCTGTCCCCGATTCCTCTCCACATTCCCCCACTGCCTTCCCCCTGTCTCCTCCTCCTCTCTTCCTCCTCCTCCTCCTCTCCTTTCGGGTTTGAACACCCCTTGCCCCCCGCAGACCTGCCTCCCCTCCGCCGCTCGCACAGCTCAGCCGTGCCCCGCCTGCCGGGCTCCGCCGGACCGGGACCTTCGCCCAGGTAAGGCAGCGCTGCCCCGGGGATGCTCCGCCGAGTTCTTCCCCTCTGCCGCCGCGGGGACCGGGGAGGAGCGGGGAACACTTCCCACTTTCCGTGCGCCCCGGAGGAGACAAAGACCCGGACCCACCGGGATCCCCGGTCCTGCCGCCGTCGGGACGAGCGCGGAGCTCCGGTCACGGCGGTGCGAGCGAGCAGAGAGCTCGGACAGCGCCGGGGCCGGGGCGCGGTGCTTTCGGCCAGACCTATTGTCACCCGTGCTGGGGACCGGCTCCGGACTCTGCCGCTCCCTCCGTGCCCGGCGCCGTGTGCCCCGCGGGGATGTGCGGGACGGGCTCTGGGACTCACCGCCCGCTGCGGGTCACTCCTGGAGCTCCTTCCCCAGAAGCGAAGTCGCCTCGGACAGAGGCACCGTCCCTTTCTCACCGTCCCTTTCTCAGGGCCTGAGTCCCCCGCGAACCCCAGGGGGACGTCCCGGCTCCGAGCCAGAGGTGACGGGAGCTTTTCCCACCGAGTCATTGTGCTGCCGTGCACCGAGCCCCTGGCTACCCGCGGCTTGTTGTGTGTTCTTCCTCTGTTGATAAAAGTGTGGTCCCATTTCTGAATTAAATCAGCTTGGCATCAGTTAATG